GATTGGAACAGCAATTAATTGGGTGGACTTTGCTGTGTGTTTTCCCTTCCACACTCATTTTTTCTGCTGGCAAGTTCAGACAGCTTCTCGCGTATCCCAGTTTTTGTCTTTCTGAGGCACCCAGCTCCGCCCGTACAGAGTGCAAGTGCCCCATGTGGAATTCAGTGGGCCAGGGGTTTGAAAGCTCAGTATTGTGCAATATTTAAGACCCTTTTGGGCTATATCCATTAATCCTCAAGCTCTTAAAAATTCTAAATTTAAGTGGAAAAATGGTATGCATTGGTCCCTCTATGGCCTGCCTACAGGAAGAAGTGCTGCTGAGGCTTTTTCAAGTCATAAACTATTGTAATCACATACTTGGAAGGAAGCTACATAAGGAAGGACTTCTACTGGTAAACTTCATTCCTGTAAAGAACTGCTGGAAAAGGAGTCTGGTAATATGTAGAAAACTGTCCCACTTTTTGAAAACAAGAAAGATGATCGGTTCAGCTAAAATGAAGAAGGAACAAGTTAAAAAAAGTCAGCTCCTGCTAAACATGCCAGAGCATAGCCTTCTTTGCAGATCTCTTCTCAGAAGCCATCAACCCCACGAAAGAACCTGCAACTCACGAACAATAAAGTGTATAAAGGTCAATGAACTTTGGTGGAACTGACTTTTCTGGAAAATCAATTGGATCGCCAGGGTAACCAGATCACAAAAGCACACAGGACACAATCAACATGCAGAAGGATACAGAGATTTGCAGAAAAGTTGTATGGGCACGACAAAATTAAATGAAGCTAGATGTCCTAGAAAACAGCTTTCACTTTCATCATGTCTGCTGGCTGGATTCCATGGCATCACAGAAACAGTTCTACAGGAATTGATTATTTCTCACATTCTGGGCCCTGGAGACCTTCTCATGCCACTCAAAATAGGTAGGTCTTTTTGAGTGCTGGCCTAGAGCTGAGATCTAAGCCAGCTGCGCAAGCTGCTATCCTTCAGTTATGCACTACTAAGCATGTGACTGAACCCTGTGATCAACAAGCTGCAAGGAAATGGAGTAAAAGGACTAGACACTTATTTTACCCACATTTAGCAGCAGGATACGCGTAGAAAAATAAAAGTGGATAGATAAACCAAGAAAAGAATAGAGGACAGAAAAACAGTAAGCTGAATCTGAGCCTGACAGCAGGGAGTAAAGGTGCATATTTTCCTGACGCTGAGAATAACCTTCATACAAAGCAAAGTCAAAAGCAGCATCTCCCCAGAGTTTGAAGAAGTTTCAGATTTGTGCATTCAATTCAGCCTAAAACTCAGGTCATTCAGTTTCAAAACTGAACGTTCCCTACAGGTTGGGAATATTTTGGGTCAGCTCCTGCCTTGGTCTGTTTTCAGCTGCAGTTTTGGCAAATAAGAACAGTCACTGCAGGACTTCTCCTAGTGCTCTAAGCCATTTCCTTCTCTCCCGTCGCAGCCCTATTCTTCTCACGTCCACGGTAGCTTCCCATATTGGAGGCCTTTACTCATGCAGATACTCTTACTGCTTTCCAGAGGCGCATGTGCCTCTGATTTTTTTTGACAGCTGTATGGAAAAATGCATGCATTTCCTAAAAAAAAAAAAAAGAAAAGAAAAGAAAAAAAAAAGAAAAACACACACACCACCATACAACAACAAAAAAACTCAACCCACTAAGAACTTCCCTTGTTCTTAAAAGGTGGTTCACATTAAAATAAGCATGGGGCTCTCACTTAGTATTTGAAAATCTTAGTTCAAATCCCTGCTCTGTATTATTCTTAAAAAAAAATTGATCACTGACTCCCTGTGTCCCAGACATAGACCCTATGCACCAAGTTACTGGCTTGTGGATAGTGACCACAAGCAGATCTCTCTCTATCCCTTCCTCCATTTGCCTTCTTACAGCTCTGACTTTTGTACAAAATTACTCTTTGGAGCAGGGAGAAGCCAGCAGACTTTACCTAGGACTTGAGAGAACAGCAGATTCTTACATCACCCCAAGCAGATGGGACGGAAATAGGAGAGGACTGTAAGCTCAGGAACTGGGACCCTGGAAAAGATGAGTTGTGAGAAATTGTTGTCTTCCATCTCCAACTGGTTTTCCAGGAGGGAAGTTTCCTGTGTTTTTAAAATGAGATTAGAATGCTTTTCTAGCTACAGATTGCAGGAGAAGGTATTTTGCAAAGATATCTTTGTGTGGTCCTGTCAGTAGCTGTGGTATCTACGCATTTATACTTAAGGACGAAAGGCAGCTTATCAAAAATTCCCTGACAAACTTTCACCTAAACAGCACATCACTGACACTCACCCCACGTGAAATCTATGCAAGGGAGAGGGGGCTCATTTTGTCACATTATGAAGAAGAAACGGTCTCAGAACCTGTGGAAGGAAGCCTCTGAGTTCTACTATACCTGAGATTATCAATGCAGTACAGTATTTTAAGCCTGGTGATAAAGGAAACATAAGGAAACGGGTACTAGGCAAACTAGGAGGCTTGGAGAACAGGCGAGCCGAAAGCTTAAGATGACGAAATAATAATAAATGAAAAGAAGCTGCCATGTGAGCTGCTGAGCATCACAGCTTTTTACTCACAGTCTAGTCAGATGAAAGACACCGACACCAATGGGCACAAAGGGTTTGTGGACTGCAGAGAAATCAGTGTTGAAAAATATATAATAAAGCGCTGAGCAGGTGAAAGATACAGTCCTCTGAGAAACAGGAGCGCACATTAACGTGCCAGTGATGGGGCTGTCATTTCAATTCTTCCCTTCCACTTTCTATTAAGTGCTATTTTTCTCAGTCTCCTAGAGGTTAAGGACAGATGGGAATTATTAGATCTTCTGTAGGTCCTCTGGGACCTAACAGACCTCTGGGTCTGTTAGTCAGACCTCTTGTATGTCACAGTCCTCAAACCTCACCCGCTTACCTTGGACTTAACTGCAGTGTCACTCATGCTTTTAACTGCAGTTAGAGCACATCCGTCAGAAATATGTCCCGTCTTGGCTTGGACACATCCGAAGATGGAAAACGTGCCAACCGCCCTAACAGCTTGTTACAGTGATTAATCACCTTCATTTTAAAGACTTTGTGCCCAGTTTCTCATATGAATTTATCTGGTTTCAGCTTTCTGCTACTCATTCCCATAATTTACTAGATTAAAGAGCTTTTCAGTACCCAATATTTTTCTCCCAATGAAGCTTCTTAGCCATCGTAATCAACTCCCTGCTCAGTCTTTTTTGATAAGCTATGGAGGGAGCGCTTCGAGTCTCTCATTGTAAAGCATTTTCTTCAGGCTCTGAATCATTTTATGTGGCTCTACTGTTCCACCGCTGATCTTTCCAACATCAATTTAAAACATGCAAGCCACTCTGGTGTTGATCTCACTAATACGGTATATGCTCATACCCAGTTGCTCTTAAAATCTATTCAAAGTCATAAGCAGATGCAAGTGACCTTCCTACTGGATGGCATTTGGAGCAACTGAAAAACAGCCATCAGTCACGTTCACTGATGCTGACATTTCAGCAGGTAAAGAGAAGGTATGACAAGGCTGTTTCCCTGCTTGTTCACTGCGATACAGTTTAATATTGGAAAGCAACACTGTCCCTTTGTAGAGTTCCACTCTGAAAATATATTGCCTGAGGCACACCCAGACCACATCTACACGAGCACTGGCACAGAGGAGCAGCCACGTCCAGACTATTAAAGCCTCTTACCCTTCAAAGTGGAGTGGCTGCACCCAAACTTTTGCATCCATGCCTGGGAATCGTTTGGAAAAGTGCTAGCAGCTTGGGCCAAAACCGTACCAGAGGCCATTTAGCAACTTCACAGGGGAATCGAACTGAGCTCCAGTGCCTGGGAGCACTCCTTGGAGCTGCCTGATTTACTGAACTTTATAAATGGTGCCTTAACCAACTTAGAGCCAGCCCCCAAGAAAGGAGAACAGTTAAATGATTCCCTCATTTTCTTCCTCGAAACCCTGTTTTCTGAGAAGTTTGCAGGTTTCAGATCAGACTGGGGCATCCTCCTAGCACAGCAATGGTCAAAGGCCTAATGCTGACACTACAGAGGCAAGATTTCCATTGCAGCAGAGCCTCTCGCAGGTGTATGAAGCTTCTGAGTACAGCCTAATTTGTCACAGCAAGAGAAAGGACACAAGAATAAAAGGCAAAGAATAAGGAAGAAGAGTTGGTGGAAATGCCTTATGTTTAAAGGAGACGAGAGCTTTTTCAAAGTAGAGACTACAGGGAGAGACACTTTGCAACATCCTACCACTGTTTCAGCAGCAGAAGGCTGTGAAACCAAGGTTGCCTCCTGTAGTTCTTTCTCTTACAAAACTGCCACTGACAGCAACAACATTTTTGTATAAGCTCAGAGAGAAGAGCCTGGGTCTGAGTTCTTGCATCATCACACAGTTGAGACCAAACGCAGGTGGCTGGCTAGGCCTGGCAACCAGTCATGGGCTGATGCATTAATCCTCAGGGGTCTCTGAGCTAGCCATTCTACATCACATATCTGCCTCAGCACTCATACCCAGAGCTTTCACATAGTAGGCCTCTCCCACTGTCATGAAACTCAAAACTTGGAGTTGGCCACTTATCAGAGTCGAAACAGCAGTAGCCCAAGTATCTAACTATTACAAAGCTGGAGGTATTTCAGGTCCATTGCAGGTAGCTGAGCAGTTGAAATATCTAGGTTGTGCCCGCATTCTACTTTCTCTAGATTACTGGGGTTCTCAGATTAGGAAGGTGAGGAAGGAGTGATTTGGGGAAAAGATATTCCCCCCCACATCTCAACAGAACGCAAGAAAAATAAAGAAAAATACTTGGTTGCTACTATTTTGTAAGACAGATTTTGTCTAGAACAATAGAAATTGTCTCCTTTCCCACAGAATTTTTCCCTTTCTTATATTCTTATGTCAGTAGCAGAAAATGCTGAATCACAAACCTGGAGCATTTAAAAAAAAAAAAAAGTATTTCATATGCAGAAGAAATATCTTACATCATTTCACGCTTCCTGATCTGCTCTCTGGTGCCACGTTCCTCATTTTCAGGCTGCTTTAAAGGTCAGTTTCACAGAACAAATCCTGACATCAGAAATGGGAAATACGCTGCCTCATCTCTACAGGATCTTTTCTCCGATGATTGATCCCAGTATCGCTGCAAGTAGAACGGTCCCCATGACTACTCCTGCAACAGGAAAGCAAGATATTCACCACCATCATAGCCACATTTCATAAGCTGGGGGCTACTTCAACCGTGTAATGTTATTGCCATCTATGGGCAAGTGTTACCAGTCATACTTAAAAATTAAAGTAGAAATGCATACCTAAATTGACACCTACCCTCAGGAAAGTTTTAAAGGACTTCAAAGAGGTTTTTTATTTAGATTTTCCAAAAAGCTCAGATATAGGATCTTGATAAAAGTTAACCACAGATAGCAATTACTTTTCGCAGCATTTCTCTTAATCCTAATTATGTACTCATTCAATTGGCATCTTCTTGCCTGAGCAATTTTATTCTGGTGCTACAGTTTGAGCATGCTTTTCACACTGAAAGTGTCCACCCAGAAAAAGTATTTTATTTTTTAACATGAGACTCAAACCTATTTGAAATTACTACTATCAGTTAACAATTTCTTAAAGAGTGATGGAAGACAAAAGTGACAAATGGGCTTCAGTGCTACAGTAAAGTTGAAGATTAATTTACTTGCTTAATAAACTTAACTATTCTAAAAATATAAAAGACCAACCTTGATTTAAGAACCAGTCTAATGCTTTACCAATTATAAATGACAAACACATACTGCCAAAATAGTTTATTTTAAAAATTACAAACTCTTTTTAGCTTGCTTATGCCTTTAAGAAAGAATCTGGCTCTTTTCCAGTAACCGTGTGGACCATGTTCAAAAGAAAGTTTTTGTCAGTATCTGTAAAAAACAAAAAACAAAACTGAAGCTCCCACTCACTGAAAGACTCTACAGATGACATTTAAAAGAAAGCACAACAACACAACAAGATTAAAAAAGTGTTTTATGTTAAATTATAACTAGCCAGGCAGTTATATAGCTCTCATTTTCATGATAAATGCATAAAGAGTGCCTCCCATGCCTCCTATGCCAGGTGGCATGAACCATGCATGGTTAACTTGTTAGACCCACCCTCTTGTCCTTGGTCCCTGCAGAACCAGTGAAAGAAAAATGTTCAGGCCCTGAGAGCAAAGATTGCCCCATAGCTTGTCCGTCAGCAACAAAAAAAATTGGCTAAGGCATCAGACCTATCTCAGCCCTTTGCACAAGGAAGGTCACTGTAACTCTGAACCTCAAGGGAAGAGTTGTAGAAGTCATATGAAAAGGACTAAAGCAAAAAAAACAAACCAAAAAAAAAAAAAACCACCCCTCTTCCAATGAAGTCAGAATAAAATGATTTGGATAGGATTTCTGGTAGAAAGCGCCAGAGGTGTCTGTGAATAAGCACAAGAATAGGCACTTCCAGTTACCGCAGAATTATAAACAAAAGTACTTTTGTGCACTCCCGGATTACTTACTCTTACTTTCTCTTACACTCACATGCTTGTGTGGGCCTGTACTGTTTGAAAACATAATTTATTAAGATATTTTAAATTGTAACCAAGTACTACACTATTAATGCTGACTTTGTTTCAACTTTTCTGTTATTTAGTATAATTTGTTTCCTAACTGTATCTCTTACATGACCAAATCCCACTGAATACTTTAAAAGTTTTTTGTTGACATGTGCACTAAGTTTCCAAAGCATTTCAGATTTATGGGCTTCCCCCCACCACCACCATTGTCATTGTTTCATTGGTTCAGGGACATATCCTTCTTTTCAGCAGACTGAAACAAGCAGTAATCTGAAACAGATTTGGTGACCCTATAGTATTAAATCATGCTTTGTGGTGTTTTATTCCTGCTCGAAAAGACTTTATGCATTAGCGGGTACATAAAATTGCACCAGAGACTGAATGCATACTGAAAAGTAATAAATGATTCCATATGGCCTTAATTTTTCAAAGCAGTGCACCACTGTTTTAAAGCAATAGTGTTTAATTTTCCAATTAGGAGATTTTAAATAGATCTTGTAAGCCCATGGATATAGAAACGCTCTCCCTTCAGGTATTCTTCCCAGCTGAGAGATTTGGGTGCACCAACAATTTTCACAGTCAAATGGTGTCCTTGGTTCGCTAGCTAGCAAGGGTACAATTAGCCAAGGCAGTTAATTTCCTCCTTTTATTCAAAAAAGCTTGTGTCATCATTACTGCAAGACACAGGTCACAGAGCCTCTATGAGCAAGCTCAATAAGCATACGTTACTCTTTAAGCTTCTTGTACTTGAACATCTGTCAGATCTCAGCTACAGTTCCACCCCACTTTCCATGTTACTTCCAAGGTAACAATCCACAGCAATAAAACAAAGCTTATAATACCTCTGCCTAGATACATTTTAAGCTTAATATGCCTATTATGAAAAGTAGCTACTGTATTTAGAAACAGCAGCCTCCTCAGCAGATCATTTCTCAGTGTGTATTCAGTTATGTGTGCTCACTTAAATGGTACCAAAAAAAAAAAAAAAGAAAAAAAAAATCATGTTTTAATCTTTTACTATCATTGGCCCTCCACAGGTTAAACAGCAGAGTGACTTAAACTGTGCATCTCCAGCACAATAGTTTGCTAAACTGAATGAAACGATTTTGCAGGGCAGGTGAGGATGCATATGAAAGAAAGAATTCAATTCAACCTTTCAAATTCCAGGAGGAGTCTGCAGGGCAGTTAGCTATAATTGCATGCCCCAAGCACGTTTAAGTGACACTCACACGAGCCACAAGGAATGTAGGCCTTTAATACCACAAGCAGGACTCGGGCAGAACTGAGGCAACAAAGTTCAAAACTGCAGTCCCAAAAGCTCCCGTTCAACGGATGTCTAATTCTGGAGGCTCTGCAGTCCTATTTTTAGACTGTCAACATCTCAAGATACAGGACGTTCTGCTTTTGGCATTCCCAGAGCTGCCCTATGTTGGGCAACTCTTTGCCTTTCTTCCCCCTCGGCCCAATTTTGGAATTCAGAGCTCAGCCACGTTTCCATGCAAGATGAGACCCACAGCCCTGGCTCTGCAGTCCTCAGAGCACATCCAACACATGCCAGCAGGCTCCGGCTCCTTACAAAATGCTGCTGTGATCGTTCTTCCAAGACAGGACAGTAGACAGGAGGTGCCCAGCACTATCCCACAGCTCACTGCAGCACTTCTCAGACACTCAGAAAATGTGACCCCCTTCCCAATCCTCTGACTTGATGCAACTCCTGAGTCAGCAGCCGCTCAGTTCCTCCAGGCTAGGAGAGAGACAACCAGCTGCAAGTGCTTATCATTGACTTCCCCACCATGTGCTGAGCTGCTGACTGGTTTTGCTTAACACTTCACCAGCCCCTTTGAACCCTTTCTCAACTCCCCAGGGGGGACTTCCTTCCCTCTGTGTGCCTTGCAGTGCCTCACACTAGGAGATCTAAGGTTAACTTCCCCTCCCTTCTGCCTGATGGGGTTCAGATGCCTCTCCCTGACCTTCCTGAAGAGCATCTTACCGACCAGAAGATAGGCTAGCCTAACACACACTCCATTTTCAACTAGCCTGCTGAATTTGTACTGCTGCCTGGGGGTGAGGGTGGGGAAGCAAGATCCATGGGAGCAAATAAGGAGAGGCCATGACCTAGCAATAACAACACTGCCACAGGGAAGGGAGGGGAACAACCTTGGATTTCAGTCCCCTTTTCCAGGTCTGCTCCTGCACTGAACAGCGAGAGGGCAAAACCCAAAGCTCTAGGAAAAGGGACAAAGCCCACATCTCCAGCTCCTTTGAATGCAAGTGCTCTGATCACTGGGGATACATTACGTGGGGCATTTGGACTTCCTCCTGCAGTGGCCACAGGCAAGAGAAAATAATATAGCCTTTTTCAGTTCTTTCAAAGGATGGATGTAAGCACCTGCTCTCAAAAGAGGAGGCCAGGCTATAAATCCCCACCAGAGAAAGATCCTTTCCTGCAATACAAATTTTCTTCGACTGATCCCTGATTCAGGCCTCCACTATACAAGCGTGTCCAGTATTTGGAGGCACAGGGAAGCAGGACTGTGAAAGGCAGTTATTTTAGGGCTCTGCCGTACAAGCACTGCTATAACAAATCAGGCATCTGGGCTACATCTCTCTGCATAGCACCACACAGACACGACAGCCACCTCAGGGATATATTTTGTCCCACAAAGACATCCGACAACGCCACAATTTCAGAAGTGTAACATTTTCAGGCTTCCCTACCAGTGCCCTAACTCTAGGCACCTAGCACTCTGGATTCAATTGCAAGATACGTCACTCATCCCTTATGCTTGATACAGACCTCAATTGCCTCCTGCAGGGCAGTAAATTCCCCTCCAGAGGTAGCCTTCGATTAAACATTGAGACAACTGAAATAGGAAAATCTAGAGGTAGTTTTGTAACTTTCAATATAGCAGAAGCTTCTTGCTGACAGCAATTTTTAGTACAAGTTTCACCAAACTTTAGAGAATGATTTTTTCTTTTTTTTTTTCCCCCCCTCCCACGGACGCGCTCATCCCCGATTAGGCCAAACACAGCATTTCAAACCCGCGTTCAGCTCCCCCACGTTTCCACTTTACACGCAGAGACCGAGTCGTCCAGGCAGCGGTTTACAAGGGCTCACCGCGCTAAGCGGCCCACAGCCACTTCCCCGCCAGATGAACAG